CCCCAAAACCCCAAAACCCCAAAACCCCAAAACCCCATTCATGAGTAAACTTGAAAATTTCTGTCATTCAATTTAAATACCAAAAATATAATTATCAATCCTCTCATTCATATAATTATTGCTTAATAAAATGGGCTAATCAAATAGTTCTCACTCGAAGTCTGAGGTTCGAAAAAATAGCCGCAAACATCGAGAAGAGGATCCTAAACCCTTAAAAACTTTTTCATGCCTCGCCCCAAGTCAAAATGAACATTCCAAATCAAGATCAAAGAAAAGACTGAGAAGCAAGTAAGGGGATGATAAAGATGACTATGTAAAAATCCTGAGGGTAGAGAAGAAAGAATAGTAGAATAAACCTGATATACCTAAGCATCCTAATATGAAAGATTCATTGGTATCTTCAAGAAATAATAAAGAATCCATGCAATCAACAAACAGCTCAAGAACAGCCTTAAATGTCTAGCGATATAAAGAATCTGGTGACAAGCAAGACAGGTAGAATACCAAAAATAATGGGAAGAAAGAAAAAGAATAAGTTAAGAAATCTAATAAAACACTTTTTGGGAGTTCTGACTCTCGTAAGGATTACAAAAATCCTAACTGCTGCCACTCATGTTCTCTAAAAAATCCATTCAAAGTAAGAAAACTATTCTCATAAATTTTTATAATTACAGTGTTGGAGAAAATTTATTAAAGAAGAGCTGAGTAGAAAAGATGAATTCTAATAATGCAAATGGAAAAGATATGTGCTGCACCAAGTAGAAACTGGAATGGAAGATAAGTATGAAAATCAACTTAAAAGTGAGTTCTTCTAATAAACTTCACTTAAGGAAACACAGGCAAGCAATAGACTAGGGTCTCCCATTAAAACATTCAAAACTTAAGCTGGAGATGAAAATTAAAGTATATTATCAATGAAATCAGATAGTGGATTAAGTAAATATTTCAACGACGATCTATCTGTCAGAGAAACAGGTTAGTCTGTATTGAAATAATGCTCTAATTTTCATGAGCAAGTATTACTAATTAAAAAGCATCTGCTAAACACTAGACACCCTATCACCTTAATAATAAATCTGTTTAAAGTTAAATTTTACAGCTAAAACTTCAATCTCTTGTAAAAGCAAAACTTTGAAGATTCAAGATCATATGAGAGTAGTAGTAGCATATCTACAGAAGTTATGCAGGCTTAGAAAACTAAAAGAGAGGCAAACACTAAAATTCTAAAAAATTGCAACAAGCAGATTCATTTCTTTATAGATTTGATTGTAAGAGTAGTTATAGCCTTTTACTAACTCAGTGTAAGATCATAGGATATCAAAAGAGATCTTATAGTTAATTTGGTAACTAAATTTATTCTGTCAGATGAAGTTTATTTCCTCATGTTTAACTTAATCTCGATTCATTTCTCTAAAGACCTGCATAAACTCACATTAGTCATGTAAAATAAGTAAATCTAGCAGCAGTTTTTGAATTTTGAATCCTTAAAAGTAAAAAAGCAGTTCCAATTCGATGAGACTTTGAGATTCCAATATGAAAAATATGATGATTATCAAGAGAGTAGCTTTATTCAGATAGAAGGCTAGGAATTTGCATTTTCTTAGATATAAGATGGCCCCTATGTTGATACAATCTAAAACTTTCTAAAGATTCTTTTATTAGAATCACCTATGTGCAAACTAGAACAGTTATATTCATCTTGCACATAAACGTTAGTAAATGAACTTGAAAGGTTTTGGGAGGGCCACAATATAACTAAGAAGGAATTATTTATAGACTCTGATACACTACAAGGGATATTGATATATCTAGTAAGCAGAATGAATTATCCTTAGATTTGGACTGAGCTTCATTTAATTGAAGAGTATATACCTGCAGCAGTTTAAATGTCGAACAGAGCATTTTATATGGTCATGGTTAAAGCGAGTTGTGAATATCTGATAAATCTGAAAATTCCTAAAAATCAGATTTATTAGCAACCTAAATCTGTAATCGAAGAAGATGTAGAGATTGATAGTGATACCGAATAGCCTACAGCTTAATGCTACAGCCTAAATTAATTCAGGTTAAATTTCGAGGAAGTAAGAAGAAGAAATATATCACTTGTGGTATCTTAAGGTAAACACAAGAATTGCGATACCGATACTTCTTCCACAAATAACTTATAAAGAAAAGGAGATAAGAATGCGACTGATGCCTTTTTCTTTGATGAAAATGTGATTCTTCATGACGACTTGGTAGATAGGATCAAGAAGTCACTCAATAGAAATCATATCTACACAGTAATTGAAGGCGATAGAGCTAGTAAAAATCTTCATAGGCACTGAAATTCAAAAAAAATTAGAAATCTATTAAATACTTCTAATTACTCATGAATCCATCTATGAATTGGGTAACTCTATAAACTTATAATAATGATTTGCCAAATTTTTATCAATTAAACATTAAATATGCATTTTTTCAAGATATAAAGGATATAGGGGTTTTGGGGTTTTGGGG